ATGCGGTAGCGGCCGCTGTGCGGAGGCCGCGAAGCAGCTGCAGCCGCCACCGCGCAGATCCACGCTGGCTCCGTGCGCCATGGTCACCCACAGCAAGTTTCCCGCCGCCGGGATGAGCCGCCCCCTGGACACCAGCCTGCGCCTCAAGACCTTCAGCTCCAAGAGCGAGTACCAGCTGGTGGTGAACGCCGTGCGCAAGCTGCAGGAGAGCGGCTTCTACTGGAGCGCCGTGACCGGCGGCGAGGCGAACCTGCTGCTCAGCGCCGAGCCCGCCGGCACCTTCCTCATCCGGGACAGCTCGGACCAGCGCCACTTCTTCACGCTCAGCGTCAAGACCCAGTCGGGGACCAAGAACCTGCGCATCCAGTGCGAAGAGGGCAGCTTCTCGCTGCAGAGCGACCCTCGCAGCTCGCAGCCCGTGCCCCGCTTCGACTGCGTCCTCAAGCTGGTCCACCACTACATGCCGCCTTCGGGCACCTTCTCGCCACCGCCTGAACCTTCCTCCTCCTCGTCCTCCTCCTCCTCGCCCTCCGAGGTGCCCCAGGACCAGCCCCCTGCCCAGCCGCTTCCGAGGAGAGCCTATTACATCTACTCGGGGGGCGAGAAGATCCCACTGGTGTTGAGCCGGCCCCTCTCCTCCAACGTGGCGACTCTTCAGCATCTCTGTCGCAAGACTGTCAACGGTCACCTGGACTCCTACGAGAAGGTCACCCAGCTGCCTGGACCCATTCGGGAGTTCCTGGACCAGTATGATGCTCCCCTTTAAGGAGGAAGGGCAGTGGGGTCAGAAGAGGGGGTCCCTCTCCTCTCCCCTGGCACTTGGCACAAGCACAAAAAAAAATCCAGCTGTAACAGTCCCTTGCGTGGGGGGGGGGGAGCGCGAAGGCCCCTCCCTTCAGTCCTCCCCTCTGCAGGATGAGGTCGCAGGACCTGGAATGTGTTCGGGAGAGTGCCACCTGGCTCCCCTCCCCGGCTCCGGCCTCTCTCGGAAGAGCCAGCTGGCCAGTTGGGACAATAGCCATGACAAGGGTTATCCTCCTCTCTCCACCCTCCACTCCCCCCGCTCAGCTTCCCACGGGGAACACCAGGGCAGGCAGTGTGGAACTAATGAGAACTGCGGGGAATCTTCAAACTTTCCATCGAACGGAACTTGGGTTTGCGCTTTGATTTGGTTTCAACCTGAGCTGGCTGGGGGGTGGGGGTGGGGGCCTGGGGGAGGATGGAAGGGAGACTATGTGAGGCTCCCTGGGGCGGTGGGCTGGCCAAGGAAACAGCCACTCCCACTGCCTCTGCCCGGGTGAGGAGGGTGGCAGCAAGCTCCACTCCCTGGGGTGGCCCGAAGGGAGCCATCCTGGTACCTGGCGCAGTCATGAAGCCCAGGTTCCAAAGTCCACTGGTGTCCCATTGCCCTTCCCTGTTTTCAAGAGGAAGTGGCATTTGGAGGGGGAGATGGATGGGACTGGTCAGTGGGTCTCATTTTCCTGCCCATGCTGTACCTTCCAGCACCTGGCAGTGAGTGGAAGGGATGAGCCATCTTTGACCCCAATGGGGGATTCTATTTTGTGCCTCCCAACTTAAGTCTGGCTAGGAGATTCGCCTTAAATGCTCCCTGTCCCACGGATCGCGACTGGCACATGAGTCAAACACTCAGCCAATCCAGGCGGTGAGGCCAAGGGATTCACCAAGGGGCACCCAGCCAGCCACTGGCCAGGGGACATGACAGGGTGGGGTGGAGGGTGAACCCCAGGCCTTCCAGTAGAGCACTGAGGGGGTTTGGTCAACGGGTCTCCTAGCCTGGGCATGTCCCTCCCCCCCACCCCACTCAGGTGCAGGGGGCAGGCAGGCAGGCAGGCAGGCAGGAAGTCATCTAGAAGCCTGCTGACTGCCTCTCCAGCTGTTCTCTGGCTCTGTAATAGCACTGATGAGCTGTAACTTACAGGAATGTAGCAGAGATGGAATTACCTGGAACTGTTCTTTTTCTTTTTTTTTTTTTTTGGAAGGGGGAGAAGAAACACACACAGATGTTTCTGTGTCAGGTATCTGGGCTGGGTGGGCAGCTGTGTGTTGGGGTGGTTTTTCTCTCCTTTTTAGTTTCTTTTTCTTGTTTGTTTAATAATGTTTACAATCTGCCTCAATCACTCTGTCTTTTATAAAGATTCCACCTCCAGCCCTTCACCCTCTCCTCCTACTCAGGCCTTCCAGGCTGTTAGGCGATGCTTGAAGAACTCAACCAAATCCCAGTCCAAGTCAAACTTTGCACATATTTATATTTATACTCAGAAAAGAAACATTTCAGTAATTTATAATAAAGAGCACTATTTTTTAATGAAAACCATGACTTCAGCTTTCTTCTTCCCTGTCCCCCTCCCACCTCCACCCTGCTTTCCCTTTCACCTACACAGAGAAAGAGAGAGGGAGGGAGCCTCAGAGGGCGCCATCGTGGCCCCAGCAGGGCGCTCCCCGCTCCCCCAAGGTGAAATCACGTCAGAGCTCTTGCCAGTGTGTGTCACTGGCAAGCTAAGGCAGCCGCCTCTTAGCAAAAGGGGGTAATTCCTGCTAGTCTGATTCAGATCTGACTAGAATATGCAAAGTAAGTTCGAAGGAAGCGCTTCAAAGTGCTTGCTGGGAGCAGGCTGAGCTGTGGTCAAAGCTGTTAGTCTCCAAGCTATTAGAGGCCCTTGGGCTCCCTGGCAGGGAGGTGTTCCGAGAAACCCCAGACACAGGGTCCTGGAGGTGGCTTGTGACATCAGCACAGTCATCAAAACTGGTTGGGAGGGGTGGGGGAGGGGCATTCCTGATGTCAGCCTTTCATGAAAGTGGGGGGCCTCTGGACAGCATTCAAAGGCTTCCTGGCCACCGCCCCCCCCTGCCCTCTTCAGTTCCCTTCCACATCCCGAAAGGCCCCCATCTGAGCCAAGCTCAGATCACCCATCCATCCCACACTTAGAAGCTACTTGGTTTCCCAGTCCCAGTCACCCTCTATGTGCTTTGCGTGAGCAGGGACGTGGACTGATCCCTTCTGGGGCCTAGAGAGAGACTCAGTAAATATTTGTGAATTAACTGGGGTTTGGGGAGGTTAAGCAACTTGCCCAAGGGCATCACACTTAGAATTGGTGAGCCAGGTACCAGTGGCTCACGCTTGTAATTCTAGCTACTCAGGAGGCTGAGATCTGAAGATCTAGGTTCCAAGCCAGTTTGGAGAAACATCCCTGAGACTCAGAGCCAATTAACCGCCAAAAAGCCAGAAGTGGAGCTGTGGCTCAACTGGTAGAGCACCAGCCTTGAATTAAAAAAAAAAAAAAAGCTAAGGGACAGTACCCTCAGACCCTTGAAGACAAGCCCCAGTGTCAGCACATTAAAAATAAGAACATGCTCACAGCTGCCCCTGGATGAGTGACTCTAAAAAGAAGCCAAGAGGTTAGGGTTCTCCCTCATACACTAGGGTTTTAATACTAAAAAAAAAAGCTCTTGATCTCCCCCCACCCCATGCCTCCTTCTACTCTCTAGAACCAAGAGCTATAAGTAATCCCCCAGTCAGGCCTCTCAGGTCCTTATCTGAGTCTTAGATGTCTGAAACAAATGCCAGAGCTGTTTCCTGGCTCCCAGCATCCCCCCAACACCAGATAAATTGCTTCACTGTCCAAAAGGCAACAGGGAGAATAAACAACTTTATGTTTCTTTCCCATTTCCTGGACTTTGGGGGGGGGGGAGAAATGACCTGAAGTGACAAGAGCAGGCCAGGCATGAGACCATTAAGTGGAACACGGGATCCACACCGGAGGGACCATCAGATGGGGAACTGGGACCGCAGACTTGGGTAGGGTCATGTTTCCAGAGTACAAGTTTAGATGCCCAGTGAGGACTGGATCTGTGTCCCCTGGAAAACCTTGTTTGTTCTAGAACTTGCCATGGCCACCTTTTCTGGTTCAGAAAGCACCCCTTTTTTTTTGGTCAGTCATGGGCCTGAACTCAGGGCCTGGGTGTTCTTGAGTTCAAGATTAGCCCTCTACCACCTGAGCCACAGCGCCACTTCTGGCTTTTTCTGCTTATGTGGTGCTGAGGAATTGAACCCAGGGCCTTAGGCATGCAAGGCAAGCGCTCTACCACTGAGCCACCTTCCCAGTCCAATGAGAATACCAGTCTTGATGGAGCCATAGAACCTAGAATACACTGTGCCCTGTCCTTGGCCCCAGGAGGTGGCTGTTCGGCCCGGATGTCCAGTGTTCACAGGGCACTTTCAATGGGACTTGGCCTGTCTCCTGCTACTTCTTGGAGGTTGAACCTTGGTTTGGGGAAAAGATGCAGACCTAGGAAGATACCTGCCTCCCTCGCCTATCCCGGCCTCCTCCTCTCCATTCCAGATTGCTCACCAGGGAAGAGGCCAAGAGCAGGGAAAGGGGCTTGCTCAAGTTCACAGCGAGCCTGTGGTCACAAGAATCGTGTGTGCGTGCGTGTGTGCTGGTCAGAGGCTTTTCCTCCCTCCTCGTCCCTCGGTTACACAAGCTCTGCGGTGCTTCTCAATCCTTTCAAGGAAGGGAAAGCCGCTCCTCCTCTGAAGGACAGGACATGGGTGGGGGGGGGTCGCCCCGGCTGCCAGACGGTCCGGGCGCCGCAGGGAGCGGGGCTCGCGGGGCCTTGCTCAGGTGGCCCGGGGCCGGAGCGGGTCTTCACCCCGCAGCG